AGGCCGGGGGCTTCTCGGAAGCCTGCGGGATCTTCTAAGACGGCCCCTGCCTTCCACGCCCCCCCCGCCCTCTCGGCATGCCGCCTCTCTGGCGCCACTCTCCTTTGCGCGCCGCCAAGCTGCATCCTCCCTCCTCCCCTCCCCTCTCCCTCGTCCCCTCCTCGTTCCCTCGCTCCCTCTCCCCCTCCTTTTTCCCTCTTCCCCGCCTCGCTCCTCCTCCTGGCCGAGCCGCCGACAGGTCTCCAGGCGCACCTTTTGCACGCTTTTGTGCTGCTTGCCTTTTTCCCCATATCCTAAGTATGGGGTTCTTGTTATTGGCGGACCGCGCCGGAGGAACAGAGAGAGAACAGAACACACCACTCCTCTCACTCAGACCCACTCACTCATCACTCAGACTCACTCATCACTCAGACCCACTCATCACTCAGACTCACTCATCACTCAGACTCATTCATCACTCGGACTCAGTCATGACTCAGATTCATCACTCATCACTCAGACTCACACATCGCTCAGACTCACTCATCACTCAGACTCACTCATCACTCAGACTCACTCGTACTTGTACTCATACATTCACTACACTCACTCAGGTCCACTCATCAGATGACACACACACTGATGTTGAGGATGTCTCAGGCGATTCTGTGGCTTCAGCACTCCTAAGGGGAGCGGCGGGGGGGTGTTTCACTTTGCCCCTTTCGCAGGATTTTGTGGGGATGTCTCGAGCGGTTTGCTTGTTTTCTGTCCCAACATCCTTCGGTTTCGGAGCAGATTTGGAGGATGTCTCGAGCGAGGCGCTCATTTTCACGTTCCTAAGGGGACCGGCGGGGGGGTGTTTCACTCGGCCCCTTTCGAAGGATTTTGTGGGGACATCTCGAGCGGTTTGCCTGTTTTCTGTGCCAGCATCCTTCGCTTTCGGAGCAGATTTGGAGGATGTCTCGAGCGAGGCGCTCATTTTCACCCCCCAGGTGGGCCAGATTTTGAGGATGTCTCGATCGGTTTGCTTGTTTTGGTGGCCAGGCTCGTGGGCGCAGATTCTTCTCAGGATGCCACAGGAGGGCTCCAACAGGCTCCAGGAGGCCCCAGGAGACCACATGCCTCAGGAAGCTCCAGAAGGCCTCAGGAAACCACAGGAGGCCCCAGGAGGCAACAGGAAGCGCCAGGAGGCCTCGGAAGGCAACAGGAGGCCCGAGAGGCCCCAGGAGCAGGAGGCCTCAGAAGGCAACAGGAGTGGCTCCAATCCCATGCGTTTCACGTATGCTCCTATCGATTGGACCTCACCTGGAGTACGATTCTTTGATGTTATACGTATGTTTCTATAGATTGTCCTTCTCCTGTGTACACAATCCTACATGTTTTACTCATGTTCCTATATATTGGGCCTCTCCTGGGGCACGAGTCCTTGGTGTTTTACGCGTGTTCCTATAGATTGCCCTTCTCCTGTGGCTCTGATCCGCAATGTTTTATGTACGTCTGTTGCTGTATATTGCGCCTCTCCTGGGGCACGAAACCTCCCTAGGAGGTCCCAGGAGGCCCCAAGAGGCTCCTGGAGACCCCAGGAAGCCCCAGTAGGTTAGACATTCACGGCGGACAGGTCCATGCGAATAGATGCACATATGGGGAGCTCCACGCAGTGAATAATTTTGGGGGGAGGCCGGGATTTCGCCCTTCGAGGGTCTGGCGTCGGATGCGGGATGGTGACCAAACCCTGACCTGCGACGCCGCGACTCTTTTCGGCACGGGCCACCGACGATGTGATTCGATTCGCCGGCTGGGGCCGCGATCCCGATAAGATTTGACTCGGTTCGATTCACTGGCATGGCCGGGGCCCGCGGGAGCCAGGAGCGGCGATCCGACTTCGATCCGATCCGGAACGATTCGCTCGCGACCCGATCCGGCCCCGATCCCATCCGATCCCGCGATCCGATCCAGCTCGGGCCTGCCCCCTCACCAGGGCTGGCCGCTCTCTTGATCACGATCGCTCGGTTCTGCGACCATTCGCGAACCCCACCCCGACGGGTCCGACCGACGCTGGGGTATCGGACACCCCCGCTGGGGTTCCTGGCTGCAGGCATCCGTCAACTTCTGACCTCTGGCCCGTGTTTCAGAAGCCTGGCCTGCAGGGGTGGGGTTCACATGTGGCTGCCCATCGGAGGCCCGGGACCCGCCGATCGCCGATCGCCGATCGATCGATCGCGCCAGGCCCGCGGATCGAATTCGTCGTCGAAGTTCGGCAGGATTGCTTAGAGGCCCCGAGACCCGCGCCGGTCGGGCCAGAGCCACAGCCAGCGAGCGGACAGCCAGCACCCATACTGAATCGACGCCTCGAGATCTTGGAGTGGCACGCCGTGGGGGCCACGGGTGGGTGTCGTCGGATGGGGGCCAGGGAGCCCCCCTCGGGGTCCGACAACCCGCACTCATATTTATAGCCTTTATCTCCTTGCCCTTCCCCATGCCTCCTCCCCACAGGCCTAAGTGCGCGCTTTTTTCCCCTCCGCCAGGGAGCCCTCGAGCCCTCTGAAGGCCACCGAGGAGGAGGAGGAGGAGGAGGAGGAGGAGGAGGAGGAGGAGGAGAGGAGGAGGAGGGAGGAGGAGGAGGAGGAGGAGGAGGAGGAAGGGAGGCGGAGGAGAGGAGGAGAGGCGGGGCGGAGGAGGAGGAGGAGGAGGAGGAGGAGGAGGAAGGAAGGGAAGTTGTTGTTGTTGTTGTTGTTGTTGTTGTTGTTGTTGTTGTTGTTGTTGTTGTTGTTGTTGTTGTTGTTGTTGTTGTTGGGGACGGGCCCAAAGCCAGGGATCCTCGATCAGACAAAATCGGACGCGTCCGAATCTGTCTCCTTATTGAGGGGCGCCCTCGGACGCGTCGAAGCCTCGCCCCAGTCTCGAACTCAGGCGAGGTCGGCTTCCGCGAGCCTGAAAGAGTCCAAGACCTGCTCCCTGCACGCGAAACCGCCTTGGGAGCCGAGTTTACCTACTTGGCTGTCCTGCTGGGCCCCGGGGCCTCCTGACCTCAGCGCTTCGGCTAGCGTCCGACGCTCGACGAGAGAGAGAGGCCCACGCGGGGCCCGAGGACAAGCCCTTTCGAGTCTTTCGGGGGTGAACGGAACCCCCAACAGTGACACGCCGATCGGTGAATTGTCCGTTTTCGGTTCTCGAGATGGCGCCGTGGCCGTTGTCTTCCAGGCTTGCGCCCGCCAGGTTTGGGCCTCAGGTCGTTTTCACTAAACCACGTTTTACCAAAGGGGGGTCTGTCCATCCCCGAGTCTTTCTTATACGAGGGGGACTTCGACTGACGAATGCTCCTCAACTGGTCGCTCAGGCTTCCTGTGGCGCCCGTCCTGGGTCTACAGGGACCTGGCAGACCCTCAGAGGGGCTTCCTCCAGAGCTGAATCAACCGCACTTGACACAACACCGAATTCCGCCCTTGGCTTTCCGATGGAGTCGAGAACTTTGGTCCCTAGGAAGGCATGCCCACGGCAACGGAAAACCTAGAGCGCACTCGTCTCCCACGGCCCCAAGTCCCCCCCCTCCTCCATGAGCCGCCCGTCCTCTGCCATCTGCTGGCTGAGGGGGTCGGCGTCGGCGCCAGCGGACGCAGGCACGGCAGCTGCAGGTAGGGAGGGGGCGGATGGGGGCCGAGGTCGACGACGCTGCCAGGCAGGGAAGACATGGTGACCTCAGCTGCGCGGCCCACCTCCCAGCCTCCATCGCCAGGGTCCTGAGCCCTCTCCGCATATGCATGTCGGCATCTGTGCGTCCATGCAGCTCAACCCCTGCCTTGGCGAACAACTCTGCATGCTGATTCGCGCTCTGCTCCCACTCTGTGGACGCCCCAGACTGGAAGTCAGTGGCCGTCGTGTGGGCCTTGGTTTTGAAACACTGGAAACCGTCCTGACCGAAAGCGGACCAGAAGGGGCCCCAGAGGTGCCCTCTGGGAGCCACTGGGCCCACAGAGTACCCAGGCCCGTTGGTCAAGGAATCCAAGGTCGATTGGTCAAGGAGGAGGAGGAGGATGATGATGATGAGGAGGAGGAGGATGAGAGGAGGAGGAGGAGGAGGAGGAGGAGGAGGAGGAGGAGGAGGGAGGAGGAGGAGGAGGAGGAGGAGGAGGAGGAGGGAGGAGGAGGAGGAGGAGGAGGGGGAGGGAGGGAGGGAGGGAGGGAGGGAGCGAGCGAGGAGGGAGGAGGGAGGGGGGAGGGAGGGAGGGAGGGGGAGGGAGGGAGGGAGGAGGAGGAGAGGAGGAGGATGAGGAGGAGGGAGGAGGAGGAGGAGGAGGAGGAGGAGGAGGAGGAGGAGGAGGAGGAGGAGGAGGAGGAGGACTCCCTCTTCGGCGTCCTCGGAGGCCCCGCTGCCCCCTCCGAGGGTGGCCCCGCGATCGCTCGCAGGCGCGATTGGGCCCGCGCCGGGCCAGGCCTGGGCCACAGCGAGGCCACTGGGCTCTTCTCCAGACGTGCTGTCGGCGTGCGCGACAAAGTCACGACGGGAGGCTTTTGGCTGTTTTCGGCCTCTGCGGACCTCCGCGGGGCCCCGGGACCGTCAAAAAACAACTCGGGATGAGAAGCGGGCCCTGGGGAACGGGTCGGGAAGCACCGGGGCCCCGCACGGAGAAACCCCAGCACGTCGCATGTCTGGGTCTGCGTCGCCCGAGTCTGCACGCAGCTGCAACGAGTCTGCACCGCTCGGGGCTCGGGGTCACCTCATGGGCGATTACAGCCACGTGCATTGCTTGGTTCGGGTTGGTCCCCCTGCAGCCCGTTGAGGCTCACTGGGCGGCCAATCAGTTAGCACCTCGCTCGGCAGAGTCACGCCCCCGCCCCTCCTCGCCCTGTTGCCTTCGCGCTGGCCAGGCAGTGTTCGTTCTGTTTGGACCCCCAGCCCCCTGAATGCCGTCGCCCGACGCAGCGGGCATCCCGCAGTGGCCGAGAGCAGAGCCAGGAGAGCGCCGCCGCCGACCTCCCTCGACCGCGACCGCTCGGCGGCCTGCGGGCCCGCGCCCGGCCAGGCCAGAGCCACAGCGAGGCCACCGGCCTCCTCTCCGTCTTCTCGGGGGCTGCCAGAGGTGCCTTTGGCCCAGGGCGCCCCCCCGCTCCTCGCTCCGTTTTGGAGCCCCGTGGGCCCTCTGGGCCTCGCGGGGGGGGCTCTGTGGAGGCCGTGGGGGGGCCACTTTTGGGCCAGGGGCACTTCTAGCAACGCCCGATCTTCGGCATCCACGGCCACGACGACTACCACCACGGCCACCGCGCGTACCACGAGAGACCGCCGGCGGGCTCCGCCCTCCTGGGCGGGGGGGGGGGGCAGGACAGGAAGGCACGGGCAGCAGTTCAGGGGCGACGTTGCGAGGTTGGCTGTTTGAGGTTTTCGGGCATTTTTATGAGTTCTCTGCGGTCTTCTGGCCTCGGGATGCGTTCCAGCAGTTGCGCCTCGCCGAGAGGCGTCCAGAGGTGTCCGGATCGTCCCAGAGGAGGTCTAGATCTCTTCCCTGGGACAGTTATATATATATATATATATATATATATATATTGGGTCGTATTCGGATTGACCCGTGGAGGAGGAGGAGGGTGAGGAGGAGGAGGAGGAGGAGGAGGATGAGGAGGAGGATGAGGAGGAGGAGGAGAAGGGATGGTTGGATGGATGGATGGAGGGAGGGAGGGAGGGAGGGAGGAGGAGAAGGAGAAGGAGAAGGAGCAGGAGAAGGAGCAGGATGATGATGATGATGATGATGATGATGATGATGATGATGATGATGATGATGATGATGATGATGATGATGATGATGATGACGATG